CAGCAAGTAAAATGGCATTGGCAATGAAGTTGACCCAGATGGCCAATGTCACGATGGGATCATCGCTGTCGATTTCAGCGTCCTCCAACCAAGGTAATAAGGGCTTGGGACCGGTGTCGTCTTCTTGGCTAGCAGGTCGCGGAGGCTGCTCCTCGTCTTCGTCCTCGGATTGATCCTGGCGCTGAAGAAGAGGCAAGTTCTCGGAGGAACGGAAGATATCTTGAGGCGTGCGAGTAGCGGGGAGCTTGGTAGTCGAATTGCTAGGCTTAACACTGACGGTGCCATAGGAGCCTGGGGTGATAGATGCGGATACAGGAGTTGATCCGGTGAGAGGAGGGGAGTCGGATGTGGTGGAGGGCTCCTCGTTGATGGTATCTGGGACGTCAAGTGGTCGGAATGCAGAAGCCTCAAGCTCTGCTTGATACTCGTTGAGGAGATCGTGGGGGATGGCGGAGTCGAGGAGAGCATCGATATACAGATATTGCTGAATCAACTCGTTTGTTCTCTCATAGTACTCGCGCCTGGTGGGTTTGGTTAGCTGCTGCGCGAGGCCGAGGCGCGTAATTGGTGTCGCCATTGAGGACTCACAATGGTTTGGACATAGCAGCTAGCTCCTCCTCAGGCTTCCAGTACTGCTCCCATCGATATCGAGGGTTGCTTCTGCCAATAAGCTTCGCGCTGCGGTTCTGGGGACCGTGAAGCAGTTGGGTGAGGCGGCGCTCGTCAGCGAGTAGCCTGCCAAGCTCATCATGGTCGTGGCGAAGCAGTCCAGTCTCCTCATCATCAGGGCCCATCCAGAAAGAGGGAGGATGCGCAGGAACAGAACTGCTCAAGCTCTGTATGCTCTGGTGAGAGCGACTGCGGATGAGGGACTGGAGGGCGCCACTGCGTGTGCCTAGAGGGTTGTGGCTATCCTCGTTTGAGAGTAGAGAAGGGCGCCGTAATTGAGCATGGCTACCATGCTTTGAGGGAGTGTTTGGAGAGCTCATTGTCGCAAAAGATGTCGCTTCTTCGCAGCGACTGGCGAGGGAATTGGGTGGTTACGATGGAGGAGACGCAATTATATATCGCGAAGAAAAATAAGATAAAACGTGTAACGAGTCAGGTTTGAAGTATTGCCAGGGTTTTGAAGCGTCAAGGTTGAAACTACTTAGTCCAAACGTTGTGTTTCCCGCCTCACCAAAGAGAGATAAGATTAGCAAAAAAGGATACTTAAAAAATAATGAACAAAGATTAACAAAGATTAACTTAAACAAAGGGCCCCTCTCCGAGTCTAGCGAGACAAAAAAGATTTTGAATATGGAGAGGAGAGAGATTGATTAGATCCAATGCATCAAGGCTATTCGCCCACATGCTTGCTCAATGCTCCGCCACAGCATCCATACAGATCCTGGCGCCCCTTTGAGATTGGGGCCCTTGGCTCTTTAGCTGAAGGAACCCCATCGCGGCGGGGTCCCTTATCCCGGAGAGGGCTTAGCCAGATCCCCTTGATGGGTCCTGTGTTTTTGATGTTTTGATGTTGAGAGACGGTCTTTCGGCATCCGCAGAGGGGCAAGAGGCAATGATGCGGTTCGCGTGCGAGTATGAGTTTCAAGATACTGAAATAGCTGTGATGTTGTTTGATGTTGATCTCTTCTCTACAGTAGAGGAAGGTTGAGAAGGATGACGATATCTTGACGTTTAAGTGGTTACCTCATCAGCAAGTGCTAGGCACATAACCTCTTCAGTACCTACTAAGTTAGTAAGTAATCGGCATGAAAGCTTAGGTGAGCTCCTTCTGTTGCAGGCCTCCACTAATAGAATCGAAAGCGCCAATTCAAACACAAGAAGCTCAATTGGCATCCTTTGACTGGCCACTGAGGCAAAGCTTGATCTGCCGAGGTTTCACAGAACATCCCGCCCGCCCCTGGTTACAGACAAGACGGGGTAACAAAACTTGAAGCTACTGTAAATAAGTGAATACCTTAATAATATGCTTATCACTATTGCTAGGATAAATCAAGGGTATTCTCGTTGTTCATTCTCAACTCTGTTGACCTATTGGTCCATGTCGTTCACTCAACCTTCTCGACTAGCTTTCCTGTTGTATAATTAGTTCCCAGCCTCATCCACAAATAAACAGTGAGGTTGGATTGCTTATGGGTGCAGATACATAGTAGGAGGGACACATTGAATGCTACGGTAACTATGGAGTAGATAGCAGAGGCTTATTCAGAATGTTGCCGACTCAATTACATTGGAGAACTGCATGTGTGTTCAAGCGCTGCAGCCACCAAGACAATGATATATCAAGTCATCATGGAAACATCGCCAAGTTGCACAATGGAGTGAGCATTCAAGCCTCGAGCGGCGTGCGCAAAGCCATTGGCAATGACGAGATGCAAAAATGAAACAAGACCATAGAGCAAGTGAGTTGACAATATCTGGGCTGAAAAATTCATGAACCTATCTTTGCCTGTCGGAAAATAGATATGAATATTCACAATGATTATAGGTGGCTGGGTTTGCCCTGTGGCTTGCCATCTGTCTTCACATGCCCTTCCCTACCTACCTACCTACTATTCACCTCACCTGAAGCGTGTAACGCATCAGGAAGCGTGCCTCAGGATTGTCGATCGGCACTTTTCATCTTGAGGTCCACTATCCCTTTGTGTTTCAATAGCTGTAGAATGTAGAGTGCAATAGATTGTGGTGATAGAGTCATTGCGATATGAGTCGGAAGATTTTCAATATTCAACCGCCAAGTCATGGTGCTGCTAATGATGTTTATTATCTTTGAATATCTCACCCACACCGTGCGGCAGGCGATCGACGAGTTAGCGCATCGGGGAGTGATCATGTTGATCCGCAGAGGACGCGCAATTCATGTCTCTTGACGCGCATCGGCATTGTCTAAGCTGCCATGTTGTACGAATCCGTCATCAGGGGAGCTAACTGGAAGAACGGTCTCAACCACAGAGAACACAGCTGAAGGGACTGGCTAAAGTGACCTTCTCAACAAAGAATTGGGTGGTGGAGCCCTATGTTCTTCTCATGTGCCTTGTTTTGTTCCCAGTCCAAAAGGCCATGATCTTTAACTCTGGTCGGGCAGAACATCAAAGAAGATAAAGATTGACGCAGATGACGAAAGGTTCAGATTCTAACTCCATATTATCACCTTGTCTAGGTTAGCAAGTCAATAGATGACGAATGGGAAAAAAGAAAGGAGGGCGAGACAAGGGCTGCACGGTTGACAATTACCACACGTTTGTGAGACTGTTTGCTGATGTGACAGCTTATTGATCTCTGGCAAAACTCCAACCAAATAGGTACGCGCTTCTTGATGACAACAACAACACGACACTCGCAAATCTCAATCACGGTCCCCGGTTCTGTGGAGAATTCCAACATTGATACGAAGTAATACAGGGAAACTCGAAGAAAAAAGAGAGGGGCCGTGACAAACCGGTCAAGAACAAGCTTTGAGTTGATGTTGGATCGGGTGATGGCCCTCGACTTTGTGTGCCTGCAATAATAGTAACTGTAACCCAACAACTGTGTGATCGACTACGCCCTAACGCTCACGGCGATGATCTCAGCAGCCGGTGGCGTGAGACGATGGAGCCGCGACGAGGGAACCCAGCCTTCTGTTGAAACTGTGGCTCCCGAGCCAGAAATAATTCGAGAATCAGCATTGGACGCTCTGCAAACGTTTGCGGGAAGTTGGCTGTAAATAGCTGTCAGCAACCAATGCATCATGAGCTCAGCCATGATTCATCCATCCACATCGTCAGTATTGCCTCCCTTGCTTTGTTGTGCTGTGCTCTGCCTGGTTCTTAGCCTTGAGGCTTGAGGTATTCAATCCGGCCCAGCCCTGTCCGTACTCCGTGGAGTAACGGGAGAGTAAAGTTGGCGTGGCACGGTACACAGCAGATATTCACTCGTACAGTACACGAGCTGCTGCGTATACCGAGGAGCTTGTTGTATTGTGGTTCCTCAATAGCAGTGAAGCCGTTTGGATCCCGAGGCCTTGGGCATTGATGATCATTGTTAGTGACACGTCCAAGAACACGAGATGGAAATAACTTCAAAACACTCAGAGTACCCATTAATCTCCTCCTTGTGCTGCAGTCTTTAGTTCATACGAACCTCACATGTCTTGTCTCTCCACGGTTGGGCCCCTAATAAGAAGCATTGGCCAAGCTTTGATCTAAAAAAGACAAGCCCGATCCACTCAGCAGACAGGGGCTGAGAGGGAAAATGGAGGGCCCTCCCACTCGCTCTGATTTTTTTTCTAAAGAGTGATGATTTTCAACTGACGAGCCGCGTACCTGAACTTGACCCGATCAGGCTTGAGTTTCTGTGACGATGAGTTTACTAGTACCCGATTAGGTTGCATACAGGCACAGTGCGAGAGTTGATGCTCACAATAGTTGATGAGATTTCTTCTCATTACCTGGATCTCGGGTTGTTGTCCAAGTTTTGACCTGGTCCTGCAAGTGAAGAGACGTCGCGAAGCCCGAGTTCTTGTTCACGAGATCGTCAACTCGGCTCCTCCTGTAGATCAACGACGTCAGTGAGCAACAAGGGCATGTTTGAAAAAGATCAAAAATCGAGTGATATCTAAAATGGGAATGGAAATCACACGAAAGCGAGGAGCATGGTCATGGTCAAGGCCAGGGTCAAGGAGTAAAGATCCTTTCATCCATGAATAACAGGCTCATATCATGTGGAACTCTGCTCGTGTCTCTTTTCTTAGGTCTCCATTCAATGGACGCTGCTCGGCTGTCGTGGATCGTTCTCCACTACGATCCCCTGTGCCCGCAACCCCAAGCCCGTAACTCTGCAAGCCAAAGCCCAAAGCTCCAGGGGGCCTTGAGAAGGGAATGGAATGGAAAGGGCCACGGTCAAGGCGGGAACGGCGCAAGCGATGCAGCCAATAATTGACCAACTCAACTCTCTTTGAGATCCAATATCCGAAGGCCCCGGGCTGTTATTGTCTTGTACTATTATATCTGATGCTCGAACGCGATAGAACAGACGAATGTCGAGTCTCGGTCAATGACAGAGATAGCTGTGAGTCAACAAATGCCAAGCAGAGTCAAGCATTGAACCCTTATCTCCGCAAGAACTCCAGTATTTCTCTTTAGTCTAGACAATGGACGTACTGTGCGTGTATCGTCAAGAGATTACAGCAATGCCGTGGTTATTCAAGAAACACCAAGGGGGTCAACAGCACGGATCAATCAACTATACCTGGGTATCTATCATGATATCTATTCGCAAAACTCCACTCTGATATTGAGCGTCTTACTATAGTTGTCAATCATTACACCGATGACAAAAATAACCAACTCTTGGCCAAGAGTATACTAATAGTAAATGATCGGAAGTCGCCTTGATGGCTTATCATCCAGGATACTTTCTTGTTTTCTTCTTCTCCATATTTGACTCAGGGCTAAGTTGGGACATAGAATTGGACTATCGTGTCATACATTGCTTAGAAAGTTGACGGAACTCTCCATGATCAAGAAGAAGTCCCGTCAGCAAAATAATGGATTTGTGAAATGTGAATGTTGAAACACGGTACCATAACCCATTGGCTCATCATACGCCCAGTTCACTCGGCGTCAACTGGGCTTAGACTGTCTCACGAAGAGAGGATTCATGCTGGTCGTTCTCATCTGCCGCACATCCCCAAGGCTGAAGGGATTTCCAGGAATGACCATGATCACGGTCTAAATGCAAGCAACAGCGCTATTGAGGTTGTTGGTTGTGTCTTAAATGCCACGCAATTTCCCCCTGCAACTAGCGCACCGGCTTCTTGTTATGTCCGACTTAAAGTGCAGCAATTGATCATTATTATTAATGATTCTGCACCTTGCGGCGTTGAGGAGGTGCCGTAGCTGAATTATCGGAACTATTGAGCCCTTGCGGCTTTGCCTGTCCAGGCTTGGCCCGCGCCTCTTTTGAGATGAGCAAGCCTCAGTATCAGCTCTTGATTATTGATGCCACTTCAAGAAATAAGGCTTTGAGATATTGTTTCGGATGTCTTGAGACAACCGTGTTCCATTGGGCATACGTCAAGTCATGTCATGTTTTGATCTGCCTGCATTTGCATTTCGTAGCATCAGTTGTCGTGTAGGTCAGATCTAGGGCCAGCTGAACCTGTAAACCACATGCTCTCTCTGAAAGTCTGCATGCTATTGGCGAAGCCATGGCCGCGGCTCTGGCTCTCACTCTGGTTCAGCGGTGACCGTGCCTCCAAGACAAGGGTTGCCTGTTCTCATGGAGCAACGACGCTAGCGAGGTGGTAGTCGGGAGAGGATACGGGCTAGGGCGGACAAGATGGACGGGCTGTGACGATGACCCTACGGGGACCATTAACTTGAGCCATATGTCTACTTGATGCAATTGAGTTGATATGTAGACTCCGATTCCATGGAATTCACTTGATGAGAGTTGCTGGTTTTTAACTTTAGTTGATCAAGTCTTATAAGAGTTGTCAAAGGTTGTTATAACCACAGCAACTATCATCAGCCTGTCGTGTGTCGTTATTCTTGACTTACTCACCTCGGTTATTCTATAAACCACTATCTTGTCCATACTCTTCTATAGGAATTGCAACGTTATATGAAATCGAATCGAATCAAATAGCATCACATCGCAAAAGCAACTCATTCCACATTCGCTCGCTGGCTCCGAGAAGCGACTCTTCTCTATCGAGACGGAGGCCGTGCGTTGGCCACGGGGGGTTTAACAGAGCACACACTCTTCCAGCATTTGCACTGTGCAGCCCCCGACCCCCGTTTAGGTGCCTTCAAGGTCTGTCTGTGCTTGGCCGTTCACTTATCCATGTCGATTGGACTGAACTGGATCCATGAACTGTACTTGACTGGCGCTGTTTACTTTATACTGTAGCCTGTCGGGCCACCACTGAATTGGTCAGGTCTGGTCTAGACTGGACTCGCTTCTGCTCGTTCGCCATCTTTCTCTCGTTCAAACCTCACCACCACCACTCGCTTCTTTTCCCCCCCTAATCATCTCCGCTTCCTAACTTTTTTACTGTTGCGTTTCTGTCGTTGACGTTAGCCGCCTGTCAAGTCTCGTCCTGTCAGTCTGTCTTTGCCCATTGAAGAGAGAGACTCTGAGACGATACGAGACGACTAAGACTGAGCCTCTATCGTCTTACTTCTTTATATACATACATACTTTCACTCTCGCTCTCGCCTTTGCCCGACCGTCTTGTTCCGGCTTTAGCCAGCCACTTTTTACTCCTAATACAAACCGTCTTTCGTTTCTGGAGATCATAATGTGAGTCTCAACTCTCTTTGCCTTGGATCAATGACACATGCCTCCAACCACCCGGATTCTATGTTTCTTCTCTGGAACTTGTCTCGACTCTTTTCGTTCCGATAAAGCCTCTTGTCCCCGATTCTGTATACCCACGCGCTGCATCGCACTGCTCATTGCAACTGCTCTGTTGCTATCTTTCCCGCTGAATTCTTTTACGTGCCGTGACCCCGACAGTTGCGACAACTCTCAGTACATCATTTGTCACCAACACCAGCTGACCGGCGATCCCTCAATCATGCAGTTATCCGCATCTATCATACGCATCTTGTTTGCTTGACACGGTTCAGTTCGAATACCCTCGCTATCCTTATCAAACGCCCGCTTCAAGGCACGACCTGCAATCTTTGTTCCATATCTTCGTTTCGATTTTATATTACCAGGCCCAAAACGCCGCCGTATATCGATCACTAAAATCGTACCAATAACTTCAACTCAGCTCGGACCGTTCCGAGTCTCTTTTATGGGTTGTATCTAATCCCAACCTGATATTCTATTATTATACCTTCTACATGCCTAGATTCGGTGTTGCGTTCAACAGGCGGAAGTCAACCGCAACCTCGGAGGATTTCCAGCATGCTTCAGTAACACCAGAGCAATCGTCATTCCGAGTCATTGAGCGCACCGACCCTGCGCTCGGCAAATCATTTGACGGAGGCGCCAGAATGGCCAGGAACTCTGGTCATCACATTCCTAAGCCTAGCCATCTGGAACTCGACACTGAAGATAACATGTTTGCCGACCTCAAGAGTGGCAACAGGTGAGTTTTGCCCTCGATGCCCCGCCTCCTCCCTCCTCTGCCTGTGTGACTCGCCAAGGAATGTTGCACGACTGCCGTTGGTTCTGGAAAGATAAAAATAACACAACCTAAGTCATGCACCATGGCGCTGACTCCTTTCCAGGGGAAGTGGGGCCTCTAATACGACCAAAGCCACATCAACTGATACCTCATCAAGGCACAGCAATGCCTCGACTGCTCCGTCTTCTACGAATCTCGAGGGTCAGGACGATCCCAAGCATTCACATTCACAGAAGAAGAACTTGCACGAGATCGCTCCTCGACCTGGAGTAAAATCCAGTGGGTCCGGATTCCTGAACCGAGCGGGTCGAACATTTTCTTTCGGGGTCCAGAAAAAACATAACGCGTCTTCCCCAAAGATTGACAACAACGACATCCCTCCCGTTCCAGCCATTCAACAGGATGCTTTTGGTGGAAGAGCTAGAGGTCTGACTGAATCTACAACCAGCACTGCTACACCACCAAAGTTAGAGATGGAGAATGGAGGCATGGATATGGGAGGTGATTTTGGCTCCATGTTCTCGTCCTTCGATAAGAGAGCGAGCGTCGCCACCATGAGGGCTGACGGGTCCGCCGCTCCTCGCTCACTTACCGGCAACCGACCCATCCAGCCTCCCCCTCTGAGTTTCAACAAGGTAACCAAGGTTGAGCCTGGCCCTGAGTCATGGCACAGCCGCAACGAAGACGACAATTTGCTCGGATCTCAACCTGGGACCCCTGAGCTCGATGATGTACCACCACCTGTTCCGCGCCACCAGAGTTCCTTCAAGACGTCGAACCGGCCGTCCGATATCATTGAGGATGAAGATGCAAAGTTACTGCAGGACTCTATCGCAGTAGGACGGTTGCTTTCTGAATCCAGTAGCCACAATCCCCCTTCGGGTCGTTACCGACGAAACGAAGATTCTTTCTCATCGTTCGAGAGGAAGCCCCTCAACAGCAGCTTCAACAGAGGAGACGACAACTTGTTCGAAGGAACTTCCGCTCATTCTTCGCGTGTCACCAATCGTTTCAATTCTCGAGCCCCTAGCCCACCACGAAACAACAAGGTCATGACCCCAGCCCAATTCGAGAAGTACCGAAAAGACAAGGAGCGTCACGATTCGAGCGATGGAGTAATGCAGTCAACCACCAACGATGACGATGACGACGAAATCAATTACGATGATGATGAGGATGAGATTGAAAAGTCCAAGCAGCAAGCAAAGCAGAGGAGAAAGCAGGAGGCTCATATGGCAGTCTATCGACAGCAGATGATGAAAGTCACTGGAGAGCAGCCTGATATGCAATCACATGAACGGCCCGGGCTGGCTAGCTCGATGAGTGCACCCCAACTTCACCTCATGAAGACACCATCTCCCGGGCCTCCCGCGGGTGCTTCTGACGAGGATGACGACGAGGAGGTTCCTTTGGCCATTTTGCAGGCACACGGCTTCCCCAGCAAGAATCGGCCACCCGCTAGACTCAGCACCATGGGCTCCAACCCCAACCTGCGAGCGTCAACCCAGCTGGCACCCCCAAGACCCGGCTCAGCGATGGGCGAGAGTAGCAGTCAAAACCAGCGCCATTCGATGCTACCTGCATTCGCGCGGGGTCTTCCTCAGGATCCTTTCGTTGGTGCAGGTATCGCAAAGCCTGCTATGCGGGAATCGCTGACCTTCAGCGGCGGTCTTCCTGCCTCAGAGTCTCAGCAATCCCTTCCTCCCGGAGGTTTAGTTGGCGTGATTGCCAGTGAGGAACGCTCAAGAGCTATGCGACGCGGCGGCCCTAATGCAAATGGCCAGAAGTTCGTTCCTGGCATGAATGGGCCCCAGGGACCTCCTTTCGATAACATGCCCCAAGGCATGATGAACGGCATGGGCGGCATGTACAATATGCCAGGCATGGGCATGTCTCAACAACAGATGCCTATGCCCATGGCGCCACCACAGCTCACCGTGGGAGATCAGGCACAGCTTCAGATGACCCAGCAGATGTCACAGTTCATGCAGATGCAGATGCAATTTATGCAAATGATGGCCACCAACAACCAGCAGCAGCAACCTGGAATGATGCCCCCAATGCAACCTTATGGAGGACTCTCTGCCACTCAGTCTATGAACGACCTCTCATCTCGCCACTCAATGATGCTTGAGCCAACTTTGGAGCCTCCCCGCCGTATGGACGCCGGAATGCGTACTATGAGCATGGTGGCGCCACCTTCAGGCGCTCCCTTCCTGCCACCACCTGGCGGCTATGCTGGTTCGATTCACGGCATGGCCCCTATTGGATACACCCCGTCAATTGCGCCATCTGAGCGAAGCAACATCGGTCTTCCCGGCCGATACCGCCCGGTATCACAAATGCCGGCTGCAGCAGTCTCTGACCCTCATCGACGAACCAACACTATGTCTGGAGCGCTCGGTCGCTGGGATGACCCCAAGGGCAAGTCTACTATCAACGTGGTGAGCGCCTCGGGTGACGGTTCAGATGATGATGACGAGGAAGGATGGGAGGCGATGAAGGCCAAGCGAGATAAGAAGCGTAGCATGTGGAAGTCAAAGAAAGGATTGGGAAGCGATTTTGGAACCATGATATAATTCAAAGATTAGTAAGTGAGGAATTATTACAAAAGAGACGGAGGTAAGATTGGTTTATATGCTCCATTTTTTGCATCTGGATATCCATGGGTTGAGCTAGCTCAACCGCCGAGTGGAGAGCCACATACAATTGTATATTCTAGAAGTGCTTTTCACCCGGGCGTCGTGGGGAAAGATATGATAGGCACCGACTCATTGGGACTGAGACTGGTGCATGATAGATACATCTTTATGCGGTAATTGACTAATTGGGAGGTCATTTTCGGAACGTTATTCATCTGTGGCCCAAGTCATGCTTCCATGGATCCGTTGGGGGGCGCTGAGGTTATCTACGCCATGTCCAAATGTGAAGTTTTATCATTTGTTATGCACATTGCTCTTGTTCTAACCATCAATTGTGCCGTTGGCCCACTCCTTTCTCTTGACACCCATCTCGACAGCCGCCAGACCCCAATCCTCTCCATGGTTGTGGCCCTTGCCATCGACACCGGCGCGAGCCTTCGCTTGATCCTCGGTCAGAACAGTCAAGACACCCAGAATGACGGGAACACCAGTGTCGAGCTGCACGCGCATAAGGCCCTGGCAAGTTGACTCGGCAATGTACTCAAAGTGCATGGTCTCTCCCTTGATCAGAACGCCGACAGCGATGATGGCATCAAAGGCGCCAGAGGAAGCGGGAAGAGAGGTGAGATCGGTAGTGGACGAAGCCAGAAGATCGGTTGCCGAAGGACCGCCAGTCGAGGTGCCCTGGATCTGGGAAGCGGAGAACAGGCTAGAGAATGGCAATACGTCAGCGACTCGGCATGAACGGATACACATGAATGAGCAGCTTTACCGCTGGACAGCAATGGGGAGCTCCCAGGAGCCGGGGCAAGATTGGATGACAATATTGGACTCCTTAACACCAGCTGCGAGGAGCTTCTCCTTGGCGCCGGTCACGAGAGGGTCGATGATGGTTGAGTTCCAACGAGCATGGACAATGCCGATGCGCAGGCCAGAGCCATCATGGTGTTGCGGAGAGGGACCCTTGAGAGACATCGTTAGAATTTGAGGTTGAGATCAGCTTTAATGATGCGATAGTGAATGTCTGTATGTCGGCAATTGAGATGAAGCTGCCGCGATCTACTGAGATGAGTAAGAGAAAAGGTTGGTAGATGGTTTAGGTTCGTGAATCGAATTAGCAATGGTTTCTATCCGTCAGAGACAACGCGGGGCTCCTCGCAGCGGGGCTGGTAGGTCACGTCACAGGGGAACAGGGACAGAAGATGGTGCTCTGGAGGGTCCCGGGTTGGATAGATGGAATGCAGGGACTGAAGGTACGTACCTTAATCGGACCTTCCTAACCTCTTGGCGGCAGCTGGTGCACTTTTTGTATGTGATGTGTTAGTCGGAAGGAAGGACTAAGAGGAACTAAGGTAAGAGGCTGAATCACCTCCTTCTTCAATGAAGCTCTCTACATTCTCGATTTGTAAAGGCAGACGAGATGAATTCATCTCAAAGATTTCTTCCCTTTTATCTTCCTCTTCTCCAACACCCCCCTGCTTTAATTCCCCTTCTTATATCACTCCACCAGCATAATATCCACATGATCCGTGTTAGTCTCTCGGGCAACCATATGCTGTGTCTCAATGCAGCATAAACTACCTGGGGAGTCCATATCTCAATTCCATCTTCAAGCCATCTCATCATTACAATGTCAATATCTGCGTTGCCACCATCTTCAGCACACCTCCTGCGGTCCTCGTCTTCGCTTCCAGACCCTCTCTCCCTGGTCAAGGAGCTTGTTGATAACAGTATTGACGCGGGCGCTACATCTATCGAAATTACGGTTGCTCCCAACACCGTCGACAAAGTCCAAGTCCGAGACAATGGCTGTGGGATACAGGTGGATGACTACAAATCCCTGGGGCGTCGGTCTCATACGAGCAAGCTCCGAAATTTCGACGAACTTCATGTGAAAGGCGGCGAGACACTTGGTTTTCGTGGCGAGGCTCTTGCTAGTGCCAATTATCTGGCTACGATCAAAATCACAACTCGAACAGCTCAGGATCCTATCGCATCGCTACTTATCTTAAATGTAAAATCAGGTGGAATTAGCAGACAACAGCCTGTTTCCGCTCCTGTTGGAACAACTGTCCAAGCTCTGAATTTGTTTCAGAACCTTCCTGTTCGGAAACAAAATGCTATCAAAGTGAGCCGAAACGCCCTGGCAGATATCAGACGACTCTTGGAGAATTATGCGATAGCACTCCCACACATCAGACTCTCTTTCAAAGTGCCTGGGAGCTCAATGCAGCCGTGGGTCTACACACCATGCTCAGCACCAAGCACGCGAGAGGCAATCACACAAGTGTTTGGTCACGCTCTTACTACTCAGCTCGTTGCAGTATCATCAGACTCTAGTGCCGGACGAAGTTCGACCGAAGTACAGTCGAGAATTTTGAGAATTGTAGCATCCTTGCCCAAGCCTGACTCTGATGTCAAGATCATTAAGGGGAAGGGAGCTTTCATCTCGGTCGACTCACGGCCCATTTCATCTTCCAGAGGCACGGGAAAGAAGCTAGTTTCCATTTTCAGATCGAGTATTTCGGCAGTCCTAAACTCACTTGAGAACTCACGAGCGCCCCCCAACGCATTTATGCAACTTAGCATTCAATGTTCACCTGGATCATACGACCCCAATGTGACGCCTTCAAAAGATGAACTTCTTTTCGTGGATGAGGCAGCCGTCCTAAGCTGCTTCCAGAATCTCTGTGATTCTATTTATATCAAGAAGTGTTTGGGTGGTAAAGAACCTCAACACAAGCTGATGCCGGTGGAGAGGAGCCTGTCACCTCTACCATGGACTTCAAAGACGGCTGAGCCAAGATCAAGAGATGGGACACATCTGGATAACATGGAAAACGAATTCCCGTTGACCGACCAAGAACCTGTCGATGCTCTTAACGATGAGCTTGAGAGAGTGCTTGGTGGTCCCGGCGTATTTGGAAGTGGCGAAAGGGCTTCTCCCAGTGCTTTCGCTGTTCCCACTTCGCCCAAGAAAAACTCACGATCTGGAAACCTGGACGAAACGAGAGGTCTTAAGAAAGCCCAATCAGTTCAGGAGATGATGAGGACACGATTAACAGTCAATCTTTCACGGAGGGAAAGCGCTTCGACCGACCTGGACGGCACAGAAGGACTAATTCCTGTGCATGTTACACCTCGACGAGCTGCCACTCCGCCAGTCCGAGACGAATTGCAATCTAACTCTCGACGTCGAGGGTTGACTCCAGGCCGTCGTTTTGGCAATATCGATGACTATTTTCGCCCATCAAGGGATGAGCCGATTCAAATCGCAACAGATGAGACTGCGACGCCCGAAAATACACAAACAAGAAGCTATTTGACGAGTGTTTCTCACAATCGACGCCTTCCGCTGAAGGAACTGTCAGATTCAATCCTCAACATGTTCTGTGAAGATGAAGAAGAAGACTACGAAGTCGAAACTGATGACGAGTCCTCATTTGACCTTCCATTTGCTGGGCCAAATGCCGTTCCATCTCCTCGCACATCTCCACGTCGCGAGGCTCCTTCTTTCTTCAGCCAGCCTTTCAGGCCTCTCTTGGGGCAGCAGCCAATCCACAATTCAATGCCAGACTTGCAATTAACACTATCGGCAAATTTGCAAACACCGCCATCATCAGACCCTACTAGTGCCGATAACTCAACTCGTCGTGATTCTCATCGACAATCCACCAACAATATCTTGGCCAGAGTCCAGAGGTCTTCTCGGGGTAATACGATACCATCAGTCAGCAGAAGAAGCGGTGACGAGTTGAGACAAAGCCGGCTGCTCCTTGGAAGTGGTCCCACCGCATCCCAGAGCAGACGTCGATCAGAACAAATTTGGTATGGCAATGGACTGGTTAACCGCAGAAATGCCCCGATGAACAACAGCCGTGACGACTCGGACACACATCTTAAGGAAATGTTACACAACAGTCACGCGAACTCCGAGGACCAGGAAGGCTAGCATCCTTTTAGCCATGGGGAGTTGTCATCTCAGGCCTATGCGCAATCTTGGTTGTCCGATCAAGCACCACACAATCATCTATCCTCTCGCGAAGGCATAAGGGATTCTGAACGAGGTCAAGGCCAAGGCAACAAGCAGAGGTCACACTCTCTACAAGTGTTACTTCTGAGAACACTACCACCACAAGCCACAGGGTCAGACCAAGAAGCTTCTGGTGAATACAGCCCAGTACCACTAGATCGCATACATGACCAGTACAATGAAGAATTCCACCCGAGGTCATTCAAGCGACAGCGACGCTGTTCAAGCGCTTCAACTTCACAAAGCACAGAATTGGATACTAGACGCCTTCTCATGAAGCGACAGCGTATTCTTGCAAATGGGGGAAGATTAAAACGCATTGCGTCGACAAAACTTCCACTTGAAACAATATCGCAAACCGATTCCACGGTGAACCTTTCGATCAAGGTTAAGGTCCAAATGTGCGAGCTACGAGCTGCTACTCTGGAGTTTGTAAACTCTGGCCTGGCTACGAAGCAAGACCTGGCCATACAGTTCAAGAGCATGGACGAGGTCCAAGAGGTTGAAAGGCTATTAAAGCGAGTTACGGAGTCGTGGCTGAAAGGGAACCCATCTGTCGAGGTGGAGTATATACTACGATCTGGAGTAAAAGGCAAATCGAAGGCGTAAATTGTTTTTGTTTTGGGCTCGGGCGCAATAATATCTATGGGGGGAAGCAATCATGATGTTCATTCATTCAAATGCCGTCAAATTATGGGGAACTTGGGGAAAGGGAGGAGCGCTTGCTTGCGGAGATTGCTTGTACGACTGAACGACTAATTGACGAGGCTAGAGATGCCGGGTTGCTGGGCTAGATTGTCAGCCAGCAGAAGATGCTTAGTTAAATAATGGAACTACACTAAAAAATCAACCAAAGCTGAACCTGAGGATGGTGTTTGTATCTAAGACAACCCCGATATAGCTAGTAGCATCTGTCGCGAGCCGCAGTTAACTAGTGGATCCTGAAACGTGAATTCTTTACTAGGTGGTACATAAAGCACAAGCCGCTCCAAGATGAGGTGTTTATAGAAAGCACACCAATAAGGCCAAGAAACATCAGCCTGGAAGAGCGGTCATAGCGGCCAAAGTGTTTGGTCATTTCCAAGTTCCGTCATAGTTTATTAATCGTCAAATCATTGAGTGCTGCAATGATACCAGACCACAGGGAAAGTCAGTAAGTGAGGTATCGAATTGGTACATGTCTAGTGATGCAGCCAAGAAGTTGCGAGACAGGCTATGTAGATCTGCATGTGCCAGTTGGCCAGCCGCGTGGCCTCGACTGCATATCACCACCAGAGGATAGTAGGAAATGTCATCAACGGGGAGCAGGATATTTCATGCTTTAATGGTGGCTGGATGGTTTTTGGGTGGGCGACAGAGACTGTGCTACTGGCGAGAGGGTGTAGTTGAAGGTGAGGGAGAGGGTTCAGGGGTCTAGATCGTTGGTGGAACCCTATGATGACCCAATGATGAGCTGGCAAATCATCGAGATGGTGTTTTGAATGACTTCCCAATGGCAGGCGAGATAAAACATGAGATATTGACATGGTAATGATCCGGCTGGCTTGGAATTTGCTAGAAGATGTCGGGTATATAGATGGATGGGGAGTTTGGAGCGAAGTGGAGGTTGCTGGGGACCTCAAAACCAGATTCCGAGCAACAAAGAGGGAAGGTATATTATCGCTTGACGTTGACGGAGGAATCTGCAGCAATTGAGGGTCAGTATTTTATGATAGACAAGGGTTGTAAGTGGATTGTGTCACTGGAGTAAGTAAACAGATCATCTCGGCATATAGAAGGATGACCGATGTACGAGCTTATTACTTTGCATAGAGTCCTTAATGACAATAAAAAGAAATTCAGGTACCTTGAATACAAACTCATAGATGTTGCTTGTATGAACCGTATGGTTACGGTAGAGATGAGCTGAAGAATAAGACTGGAGTGCATGGATTCCACGGTTATGGATGTTGCTGAAAATAGCCCACTCGGTTGGTCCGTCCACATGTTAAGTTTGGCACTACTGTAACAGGCTCTCGTGAATATGGTCAACGAATAGGGCCCTGGGCAAAGGTAAAGATGGGAACGGGAATACCCACGCTGACCCAACTCCCGCTCGTATCTGCGCTGTGCTCCACGAGGCGAAAGAGTGAGTCGACATAGGAAGAAACAACTAATGAAATGGAGTCCTTTCTGTTCTGTAACGTGTGGTTCGATGTGGCGATGACTAACAGCTCAGCTCAAACGGAATAATCCCGTAGGCATTCAGTCAGATCTCGAGACTTCAGCTGCTGGGGAGAAGAGATTGGATTCGACGTGAGTAAAGACATGATATGGCGTCCAATTAAGAGTCTGGAGTATCATGTATGAGAATGACCGGCTTATATATGCAATGCATACAACGTTGTATGAGAAGCATTCGATTCAGTGAGAAGTAACCCAGAGAGGTTCCGTGATGGTAATATTCGTTGCGTTCCGTTCCATCGTGGCTATGGCTGACAAGATCGCCTCCTTGCATTGATCAGTTAAGAATTTGGGATTCTAACATATTTTCCTCGGATTTGATTCTGAAAGTGAGGGCAACGAGTTGGTTAGGTGAGTGATGAGTGGGAATTATAACACCACCACTTTGCATTCAAATTATCATGATACAAATAGGATTTGGAGGTGTTGTCCAGCGACCGTTGCCCGTTTTTAGAAGGGACAGCTCCATCATCGGGCTCAATCTAAGCCGCAAGCCATGACGTTTTGCGCTAAACGTCACAGGCTAGCGCAGATTGGGATCCAATTGGAAGGGATTTGTTTTACGAAAGCTGCAGGAGACAAGTATCGGGTACTTAAGGTTTAGGGAAGAATATCTCGATGGAATAGGGCCAGAGAGGCAGTTGTAGTATGACAGGAACTGCAAAGACTGTTAGCAATTATTGCCTCTTGCATGCAGCATCTTAATTGTTTGTTGCACAAATCAAGGAAGCCATCTCCTGATAAGCATCCATGACTAGAGCCCTGAAATGGCCCGAGATAAAGATAGGACATGCGCTCTTAGCGTGGACCCAGCCACAATGCCCAGCTTTGAAGCAGACACCAGAGCCGATAGCTCCAAAACTGAATCCTTCCATCTATTCATTCCACAAAATCTCAGTCGGGGCAGGGTGTCGAACTCCTTCATGCCAGGGCTGATTGAGAGGAGATTTAAGCGTAAATCATGGTGCATTATGAGACAAAAGGAGTATGGAATACGGGTCAGTTGAAGAAATTCGAAGTTAGAGCTCGTAATGCTCACAGGAAACAATCCACTTATACTGCAGATCCTCACTAAGACCAGGGGATCCATCTTCAACAGCGACGGTTTCGTTTATTACGGGAAGCAGAATCCCGTCCATCCAGTTCAGCTCCCTACAGCCAGCAGCTAGTTCAGGTGTACTGCCGTCTGGCGCGGGGCGTCTTACAGGCCCCTCTAGCGTTTTGTCCCCAGCGCTGACTTGACATGTACCTGATACTTCTCCATGGGTCCCCCGTTAGATTGTTCTTCCCACTTGAACGACGGAGACAAGGGCGCCTCTTTTCCCTTGCTGATGCCCCCCAAAAAAAGAATCCATCCGTCAAGTTCGATCACACACGACCATTGCATTGCGCGCACAGCGACCTATTCGCTCACGCACTTTGCTGCTCTTCTACTGTTGGGTCTCTTTTTCTCCTTCTCCTCCCTTTGGTTTCTTCCTTCCTGCCTAATTCTTCACTCGCTCGTTCCTTTGCTCGATTTCGCTTCGCTTCCCTATTCTGTATTTCAAGTAGCTTCATCAGCTTTGTCTACCCATCGTAGATAACTCTCTAGTAGCATTCACCATTTGATCCGTGGTCATCTAAACAAACATCATCTCACACCCGTTGCCATCTCGAGAATCACGTCGCTCGCTCCTTCGTTCGTTCGTTTGCTCGTTTGCTGGTCGGTCTTCTAACCTTCTGTCGGCTTACTCTTCTCGACACCCAAGATGATCTCCGTCTGAGCCACCACGAACCTCCCCGATCCGATTGCTCACCCTCACAATTTGACTCCACTGGCAAATTTCAACAGTCTTGATTATCTCGGCTTCTTGGATAGTCTTAATTTTGAAGCTATGCAGCTTGGTCTGGCCAGTCAACAACTTGTCGACCGTTCGCAAGATTGTCGCCCTTGCTCACACCATCGCGGCCTCATCCAAGATCTGCCCAGGAGGCGACATGTGGCACGGTCATCGAAATCCCCAATAGCTGGCTCCGCGCCTGCTGCCTCCGCTCCCGTAGATTCTTCTGGTTACTCACACCATCAGCGTTATTCCACCACAATCATGACACAAGCTGTCCCTCGACAAAGGGCATGGCTCCCTCGATATAGCACGATATCCCGATTATCAAAAAGTCTAGTCATCGCCCTTCTCATTGCAATACACGCTGTATCGCCTGCTCATGCCGTGAGGATCCCTTTCACAAACTGCCTCAGCGATGCCTACCGCTTGCACGAACCGACGAGGCTGCAATGGGTTCCCTTATACGCTGATGCTGTCTTCGATACCGAGAACGAGAAACACAGCCTTCGAGTTATTGTATGGGGAAACGTCACGGGTGCCCGAACAACCAGCGCGCTGCCACCGCCCGGTGACCCTTCTTGGAAGGATGCCAGCGATATCAATGGCAAAATCGCCGAAACTCCTCAGAAGAAGAATGGCTATAACACTGCTACGACTTACTTCCCCAAGGTTCACTTCTTGACATATGTTCCGTACAACAACGACAAATTTGGTTTGTGTAACACTTCATTGGTAAACGGATCTTGTCCGCTTGGACCTTATTTCGGAGAAGTTGATTATAGGTACGTCGTCTATAAACTGCTTATGAACTGAAGTCAAGACAGATGTACTGACCATAAAATTATAGTGATGCATACAAGCTGCCTTCTATCAACATCACATGGGACGCCTACTCTTCATATGCATTTGCGTCCCTAGCACCTAGTATGTCCATTATTGATGGAACTCGCGATGCACCTCAGATTGGCTGTGTTTCCATGGCGGTGACCCCGGATCTGGGAGGTCTCTCGTGGCTACTCAAGTTTTTACCCATGATAGTGCTCCTTTTTACAGGGTTTGCAGTCGTTTTCTCAGCCATCTTTAGTCCCTGGGGCTCATCTGATATCTTCCACTGGACTTCCAATTATGGTCGAGATGTTGATCTGCTCCGTCTTGTCACGCCAGGCTTTGGAGACTGCCTTCAGTATATTCAATTTATCGCGCTAAGCGGTGGCCTTACTCTTGACTATCCCGGCTTCTATCAACCTATTGTCAGCCAGATGGCCTGGTCAACTCTAATGTTCAACGAAAGCTTTGTTGCCGATGCCCCATCATGGCAGAGCGTTGTCGATGGTATCTATGTCACCAATGCCACTTACGGACTTCAAGAGCTTGGTCAATTAGTCGGCATGGCTGAGAGCAGAGACATCTGGGCTGGTATGATGGTTTGGCTATGTGTGTGCATTGCTTCTGTTACCGTTCTTGTTCAGGGCGCATTTGCAGTGCAGTGGCTATTCCGAAAGATCAACAACACCCCCGAGGAAGATCTGCGCTCAAAGAACGTCCCCTTTTCCGTTGGCAATGTCGTCCGCATTGTCTTCAACTATTTCTTATTTCCGATCATCGCCCTCTCATGCTTTCAGCTCGTCACTGCTGGCGATTCTCCGACGTATACTATTGCTCTCGCCGTCGTTACCTTGATTTTCCTCATAATCTTCGCGGCATACCTCTTTTATCTCATCATCAGAACGAGGCCAAAGTCTGTCCTCTACGATGATTTACCGACTGTTCTTTTATACGGCCCTCTATACAATACCTACTCCGATGAGGCTGCTGGGTTCGCTCTCATTCCGGTCTTCCTAACATTCCTCCGGGGCATCACCGTTGGTGCCGTGCAGCCCAGTGGTATTGCTCAGGTGGTACTGCTCGCCATTTGCGAAGTGATTCATATCCTCACCATCCATGCCTTCCGACCGTTCCAGCGTTCAACAGCGATGAATGCTTATCATACACTTTTTGGAGCGCTTCGTCTAATTTCTATCTTACTAATGGTAGCATTCGTACCTACTCTTGATGTTTCTGAGGGCGATAAGGGTTGGATTGGTTACATCATCTTGGGAATCCACGGTGCGGCTTTGATATTTGGTTTCTTCCTCAACGCCCTGCAGACCATTATCGAGGTCGCGGCTCGCATGCTTGGAGCTGGTGGAGACGACGCTCGAGGTCTGACCCGTGGAGGACTCACAAAGATCTTTGGTATGCGACAGCTGTCTCGCCGCAACACACACCAACGTAACACTGGTCCATCCCGAGCAAGCCAGTTGTCGACAGCAGCAATGTTGGACGTGGACGACGGCGGCAAGTCAGGATATGTCATGCCAAGCGGAAGGGTTCGAAGCGAGTCTGGTGCTAGTCTCGGTGGACTCATGAACCCTCGGCATAGAAGCAGCTCGGCGCTCGATAGCATCGACGTTTACTCTGGCATGCCGCAGAACGTGGATAGCAGCAGCTCATACATGCCCAACACCCCTGGGGAGAGGAGTACATTTTCGTTCCTGCCCTCCCCCAGCGCTGCCCGCCATCATCCTACACAGTCGATGGATGCTGCCGATCCCTACTATCGACCTCCTCGAAGACGACAGACGATGAACGAGTCCATTCACTCCGAAGGACCTGGTGGCTCTAACGCAGCAGATGCTAAGGGTGCTAACCCAGCTGGAGGTTTAGGCGATCCTGCAGATATGGGTGCGGATATTTCTCGAGGGGCAACACCAGCGCCTCCTCCCGCGGGGTATTCTCAAGCCAGTATACCCCCGAACCGACCCGATTATGCTACTCGCGAGGTGGACTTTTACTACGGGGTCCGTGGACCAGCACTGAACTCGGACGGCCCGGGCCGGAAACTTGGAACTGGCCCCGCCGATCCAACTGGTCCTGTGGCTACTGCCTCGGGCTGGTTCCGGAATCTATTTGGCGGAAAGACAAAGGAGAAGGGCAAGGGCTTCGAGGTTGTGAGGAGCTCACGGATGCCCCCAGCCATGATGGCTAGGAATGGCGGAGAGTCGCCACCTGAGGGTATTCCTGTGGCTATGGGCGTACTACGGAACGGTCCAATTGACTCAGATGATGAAGACGAGCCTCGACCAAGGCGGTCTCCAGGACGTCAACCGCAAAGCGCTCTACTAGACGACAACGGTGATCCTCAAGACTCTGAGCCGGAAAGCCCCGTGCTGGAGCGACCACGACGTACTTTCAGTGCCGGCAGCGAGAGTTTCCCTCGAGAGCCAAGCAAGTCTTTGTCCAAAGCACCACACATCGCACTGCGCGAAGCTGAAGATGATGATGCCCCAGAGATTCCTCGCAAGAGCTCCAAGCGTGCATCTGGCCACTTTGGAGGCAGTGATCACAGTCGAGCGCCATCTCTTAGCCTCATGAATATGCCGGGCTCAACGATATCATTTGAATCTCAGTGGCGAGGAGACCCCGATGCTGTTAGCCGCACTTCAAGTCACCATCGAGCTACACTATCAGCGTCGTCGCGGCTACCGTTTGAGCGAACCAACTCCCAGAAGCGATTGTCGTCCAATTCGTCCATGGAGTTCCCTGGCGAGTTCACCAACATCGACTTCGGCCCTTCAGTTGATGAGCGGCCGGCCAGCTTCGGCATGGTGTCACAACATGGTGTCAGCCGAGTTGATCCGTTGCACCGTGACGTGGATCTGCTCGGCAGCTCCGCTGAGCTTGTCGAAGATCCTCCTGCTAGACCTCGCACTTGATACATGCTTCTGCTGTCATAACCAAGTAGGAGGTCTATTGGTCCATCTTCTATGTTGCTTACCATAACACACATTCCTGTTCGATATGAACATCGGTCACTTCACCCTTCTCGGGTTACATCCTAATACCAGTTTCCTTTTTGTTTGGTCTAAAGGGGCAAAACGCCATGTACACGATTTATGGATCAAGGTCCACAAGGTCGCTGCACATGAGCACACATACTTGTCTCCCTCAATTTTGGTTATGAATCAAACACAATTCAGTCAAAGCCGCAGATTCTCACGAAGGAACTCGAGCTCTGAAAATACAAGCGAACGAGAAGGCGTTACATACGGGTCTTTTTATGGCAAATGTTTATTACTTTGGCCTGACTGCCTTGAGTCATTTTTCTTTGTGTTTAGGGATATGTTCTTTTTGAGAATGTCCATACTAGCGTTGGCGTAACATAAAAGCTGGTCCAGGGAGGGGGTTTTACACAAGGGGTCATCAAAGCCCCAGCATATCTACTGTTTTTTATGTAGTGAGTTCTGTGGGAAATGAAAGTGTAGTTATATAATTTTGGAGGGGCATCCTGTCAAGGTTCTGGATATGACTTTCACCATCCTGAGACGATGGATAAGAACCGGGATTTAGTAGACACAATTCTAATGAGAAGTTGTAATGATCCTTACACTTGATACTGTACTCTCTGTTCGATGTCTCGACACTGGTCTCGTTTATTTGTGCACGTTGTAACAGAAGATGGTCTGTTTACGTGCAAGTAGTCTTTTTGCAATACCGTAAATAGTCCCCTCTGCAAGATATGCATTTGTTACACATCTCCTATTTCGTTTTCAGTTCCAATAGTATCCTTTGTTATCTGATACCTTTGAGTCCCTTTGGTATTTCACTTCACCGAGATAAACCCAATGCCAGACCGAGCCTTGCGCGCCGCTTCCTTGAGCGCCTGATCCTCAACATCAGTCCACTTGACACTCAGGTCGTTCCAGTTCTTGCCGGGTGTGTTGTACTCCTTGCGCCACTGTGCCTGCACCTTCTGCAGACGCGACATCTCGCGCGGGTCGCCCGAGCCGCTGTACAACATGAAGGCTGTGCAGGGTGGCAAGGCATCATAGATGCGTGTGAGACGCTCCGTAAGGCGCACGAGAGCCTGCTCCAGCTCTGACTTGCCGGATGGGATGGCCTCAGAGTCTTGCGGAGGACCGCCGTCGCTGTTTGTGTTGTCGACACGGTTACGGTTCCACCAGCCTTGAAGGGCCTCAAGCTCTCGCATTCTCGCCCAGACAAAGTCAACTCCGCCGCCGCGGATTTCGAGGCCATCCGGGTCTCCCTGCACAGCACGAATTACGTTGTTAGTTACATCCTCGTCGTTCTTACAGCCGAGCTGATGTGTTGCGCCGGCTCCAGCCCCCTTAGAGGGATCACCCCAGTCAACAGCTGCGCTCGTCTTGCCGACCTCAACACCACCTGCGGCTCCCCCCTGGGCCTTGTATGCAGTTCCAGCTCGCGCTAGTCGGCGGAACAAGTTCTCTCCCTGTGAGTCAGATGTTCCCCAGGCCTTGCCCCTTTCGCATTTTTGTTTGACAAGATCGAGACAGGTCTTGGAGTCTTCGATGCTGTCGTGGCCATTTGCACCGCCTTTTTGAATCTCTTTTGATAGATACTTTTGCGCCAACCATTTTAGAGAAGATTTGAGAGGAGGACCGCGAGGATGCGGGTAAATGATGGATGTGTCGATGATAAAAGGGTGAGAGATGCGGAGAGCCTTGGTATCTGACTCTAAAGAGTGTCCTATCAAGATTGTACGAGGGGTCAGCAGTTCGAGTAGCTTCTGCTGGATGTCATGTAATGTAGTTGTTACAGGTGCAAGCATCTCTTCCGTGATGCCAGAAAATTGGGTGACGTAGTCGATAATAGGCTTATCAGGCTTGACAAGTTCGTCGAGTACCACGTTGCCGAACCAGTCGACTATGCTGATTCTTGTCAGAGAGAACTCATTCTTTCCAGTCATACACATTTCACAATCCAGAGCAAGGATATTTCGTCCTTCTGTGATGCTGCCCTTTTCAATCTCGTCTTCTGGAACTTGACCTTCTTCAAGGCTCTTCACATGGGTGATGACCCATCCTTCGGGGAGCACGAACTGATCTTTGGCAACGCCTTCCAGCATAGCTGGGTGGACTAAGTAGCCGTTGTCGGCCAGATCATCGACTGTACATAGGAGTTCAGTGATGCGTGTCCTCTCGTTCTTCCATCCCGAAGGCTCATGTGCTGGTTTGACGCCCTTCTTTGTCCCATTCTTTTCCTTCGGGGTAGGGGTTGTTAGGAAAGCGGCCATGGGGGAATGCATCTTTCCGTGTCTATCATCACCTGGAGTCTTGACGGGCCATAGATGCGTGAACATGTCTGCGAATGGTTGCAGAGCCTCGGGTAGGCGCTCTTTCTTCAGTGGTCGGGGATAATAGTCATCCGGCGACGTCACGACAGCGTTTTCCTCCTTATTAGCATCGTTGTATGTATCCAAGTCCACATTGTGTTTAAACATAGCCTCCTCAATACCGGGTATCATTATAGCCACAATCTTTCGGAACGCTGGGCGATGGGTAATACCGATCCATTGAGGACCAGCTCCGTCAGCAAAAATGTATGTAACCAGGTCTCGCATTTGGGAAATGTTGATCTTGGATTGCAGTCGCGCATTAGGCGAGAATGCAATAGTGGGATAATTCTTGCCCGGTTTAGGGACCTTCTTGAGTTTCTTTGAAGCTCGTGAGACGACCTGCCACTCTCCGCCGTCGTCTGCGTCATGGGGATTTGAACGCTTCAGGCTGCCGTCGCTTTGTGTTGAAGCATCCTTCTCGAGAGTCGCGATGGCTGTCGTGACAGGAACACCTTGGTCGAACTTGTCGGGCTTTTGGACCTCATCTTGATTGTCGCTTGAAGAGGCCTTGTCGATGGGATCGAGAATTGGGTCAGATCCTAGAGCTGTAAGGGCTTTGTTGACGAGTTTGGCAGCTTTTCTCTTTGCTTTCTTACCCATTATGAATTTGATACGAGTGCGAGCGCAAGTAATGCGCCGCTGAAAGGAAAGACGTGAAAAGAGTTCACGTCGTGAGGTAACAGTTATTGCAAGGAAATAAAAAATGATGGCGATTCCAAGAATGCAGATACACTGCCGTGCTAAAGGTACGTACCAGTTACTTGCTAGGGGATTTTTCAAGGGACTTTGAAAGGTGGGGCGGAAGCTAGCTATGAGATCGACCAACGAGAGTGTCTCTAAGCTCAACTACTTTACGCGTCTCGCGCACGCGACATGACCGTGGGCAGATTTATTCGAATTATGATATGGCCGTGGAATGCTGCACTACTCAATAACAGGTCTAAAACCTCCAATTTCTTAACTCGCGAATATAATTAGTTCCTAAACCCATAATAGATTATCTCTATTCAGTAGCCAAAATCCATCTCAAGGATCTCAAGTCCCAAATTCGCCAGAGAATCTACTTGCTTCACCACAGCATACTCAAAGAAGGCTCGAGCTTGCTCACCCTCGGGGTTCTCTTTCCAGGCGTTAATAAGAGATAGTTCCTGGTCTCTTCCTGGTAATTCATTGATCTCATCCAGCATCTGCTGAGCAGTGGCCGAAACTTCCCACTCTTGAACATAGTCCTTGGGAACAGACCCTAGGATCATGATGAGAAGCATCTGGCACAAGGAAACTTGGTCAATATCCTGCAGTGTCTGAAGGGCCCTCTGGTTGATATCCCCTTTTGACGCCACTGCTTGTGAGTTACCGAGCGAGGCTATGTCTGCTGCAGTATTGGCGAGTAATTTGGCGACGAGTAAAAGGCCCTTGATGCGAATGGGATGATATGGCAAGACGTGTCGATAAGGGTCGCTGGAAGTCGCAACGAAGCATGCCGTAGTCAAGGCATAAATGAAGTTGCTCTCTTCGATGTATAGGATTGATACCTCAGTCAGCAGCTGAGGGAGTGGTGATACTGCCCAGAGCTTCTCGGTAGTCAATCCTTTGCATCGCTGGTAACGAGCTCGCAGGACTCTTCGACGATCCTCAGGTGACAAGGTAGGATCTTTCTCATCTATCAGATCAGATAGTTCCTCGCTACAATTTGTTGCCGTTGAAGCTTTGTTCGAATCTGTTGCAGCAGGGTGTTGGCCAAGCTTGCCAACATCAGCGACAAGACTATGACGGTTCATGTCGATGATTGGAGAGCCAGCGCAAACTTGGTAGACGTTGAGATCTTTCTCGCATCTGAGGCATTGACAATCGAAAAAGTACGGTGCAAGTGCTTGCTTTCTTTTAGATCGAGGGAATGTGTAGTCTGACAGCACGTTAGTGGCCATCCTAAGGATATGGTGAGGAGATATACCTGTGTAAGAGATTTCAATCTCCTCATCGACTTTGATCAGCTTTTCAGCTCTCAGTATGGCCTTCCTGCCAACAAACTGCACCATGGCGTTGGGGATGCAGGAATGGTTGGCCATAGCGAGCTTTGGTTCGAGAAAGATGCCAACTTGGCCAAGATCGGCATCGTACCTATGAAAGGCATTTGTTTGAATCTATAGGATGTTATTATATTGACCTGTTACTGTGCATGTCCGAGGACGTACCTTGCAGAGCAGAGCCAGCGTCTTCTGCAATTCCTCTTGACCCGTGCCCTGCCCAGTAAACGCAGTAGCACCCATGGCCATCATCTCCATATCGGCCCATTTGTCACTCTTCCTCCAAGATTCGACATTTCCTTCAAGGTTCTCCAGCGCGGCGCCAATACCAGGCTTCACCAGCGCCTGGATCACTGCGCGTACAGGCGTCGGTATGCCCGGGTGTCCTTGTTCGGTGACTTTACGCAGTAATTTACACTCCTTGGAGTGGACTGCTGTCCAATTTGCAGATTGACAGGCGGCATCGCAGTAGGACACAGCGTGGCAACCGGAACAGGCGCGTACGTCAGCCGGCTTGAAGCAGTGGCTGCAGATGGTTTTTATGTGAGACAGTGAGGGGATGAGAATCGTTGGTGTGAATGGGAGGATGATGTCGCCTGGAGAAAATGCCTTGCTGGAGAATATTCCACGACCTTTTTGATCATGCCTTAGTTGGAAGGGTACGTCTTGATTCATCTTAGACGAGATTGAGGTTTGGTCCGAATGGAAAGAGCCGGGATAATAGAAATACGTATCAAAACGGGGTCGATAGTGGTATAAGTACCTACTTACCTGATCTCAGGATTCGGTGTCAGCAAGATCCATGAATGTTTGTTGGTTGTAAGATGGAGTAGGTCAATGTCCGAAATTCTCCTGCACCGAGCTCAATCTAGCGAACCACATCAGGATCAATCCTTCAATTGCACCACATTTGGGCACAGCAATCTCACATGCAGAATGTCGCAATGTTTAATTTTACAGCTTGAAATAGTTGCTCTATTGCTTACAATCTAACTTGCCAAATGCTGCTCAGGTATGCTCTACAATTCAACACGAGGAGGTACCTTTCCGCTCTTCCTCAATGCCGCAAGCCGATCATGTAGATCCCGGCTCCAATGTCCGCTATCTCTCTTGTTCTCCTTCAGGATCCTCGCAACATGGTAATCCCAGCAACCCTCTCCGGTACTTGCCTCATATACTCGACATTTTGCGTCGCTGTCTCGCTCTGTGCGAGGCCACTGACCAAGCTTTGCGCCCATATCTTCATCCAAGAAAGTATCTAGAACCAACTGGCCAACCTTGCGCTGTGTAGTATCCCATTCTTTGCCTTCAGGCACGAGCACCTCAAGCAACAGCTTCATGCCGTCGTTCTTGAGGAATTCCTCTCGGATTATGTCGCTCTTGATAAGGCCGTTGATGGCTCCAACCTTGGCTTTCGCTGTAGAGGCCAACGTCTTGGTGTTGAGCGACGATGGAACATGAGCGGGCACGAGAGGTGTATAGAGAGACTCCTTTAGAGATTTGCTGGTACTCGGGCACTGAGCCTCCATGAGACCAGGCCACTGCCTGGTAACCTCTTTCAATGCCGCGGCATTGTTCTGCAGGGCGGCCCCGAGAATGGCAGCTGCTTGATGATCCCGAGGAGTGATATCCGCAGGGTAAGCAACATCCGAATCCGCCATCATGCAGAAGAGAGCCTTCAACACCGCCGCGTCTTCAGTGACCTTGAGACCGTAGTAAATATCATGTGACAGTTCTTCCATTCCCTCAAGCGCATCGTCAAGTTCCTTGCCTTCGCCGGTTTCGCCAGCCTTCAACATCTTCATGGCGGTGAAGAAGGGCTTACCGACGAAATCTTCACCCTCAGGCTCCTTGATTTTACCAATAGGTTCATATGCCGGTGCGCCCTTGGGGATTTGGGGATCCTCCTGTTGCTGATCCACGACAACAACAGCTTGGTCAACCGGGAGGCCTTCGAGTGCAGAGTTTCCTTCATCGGGAACATTGATCTTGGCCTCCTTCTTGCCGTTGGACATGTTCAGACGAACATGGAGTCCGTGGGGAAGTTCCTGATCGTCATGGACGACCTGGAACTCATCTGTTGGTTGAAACACCTTTGGGTAACAGTCTTTAGGGTTATCTGTGTGGCAGATAAGTTCGACATCTGCCTCTGGAGATGATTGTGAGTCTGGAGCTGAGGCGATTGTTGGTGATGCGAAGATGCAGAGGACGATACCCAGTACAAGGGCGATCATGAGAGACAAGGATTTTGCCCTTGAGGGAGCCATAATGAATATCTGATGCCTTCAAAAGGCGAGAGGTCTTGAAAGCTGAATGGCGAAGGGTCGGTGTCTAATAGTCGATTTGAGACCAGGGAGTATTATTGGTGGTTCTTGTAAATCCTCGAGCAGAGTATTGAAAGGGTAGGTACTAATTTATCCTGTAGAAGGTCGGAGAACTCAAGGGTCGATATAGTGGGTAGGTATCAAGGGTAATGTAAAACTGTGATAGACTTTGGAATCAAAAGTAAGAGAATAGAGAGGACAAAACTATCAAATGAATATATATTTTCCGTTATATGTTATGAAACTCCAAGATATGACTCAGTCGAGTAAACGGACACTTCTTTAATCATGCATGAATCGAAGTCACTAGAAATGCAACTTGTCAAGATCCATCAACGCCCGTGCCACTGTGGAAGCTCACTGTAAAAAAGAGTTTTGGCAGATTTCTATTGGTTCGGAGCAGCATCTTCGATTAGTCATGATTTTCACAGACGGCTTTCATGTAAGTCAATATCATGAAAAAGATTAACGCGTCAACTTCATAGTTCTGATGTAGTTCTGATCCAAATCGCTGCCTGATGATACCCAAATCGTGATATTATAACCCCACAGCGTCACATGTAGCGCGATTATTGAGAATGTCTCACAAGTACCAGCCTTCCCTTCCCACGAGGGTCAAATCAACATTGACGACGTTCTCAACGGCCAAGGAAATAGACTATATGAGGGGTTTAAAACTTGTTCATATCAGTTTTGATCCTGATAAAAGGGTTCATGTGATGTAGGGAGCATAAGTTAAAGGGGCTGGCCGGACCAGAAATAGTTTCTTGTCGCAAACAGCTCTATTAGAAGATTGTCTCACTGCGGCCCACGACCCTGCAAATTCCTCTCGAGGGGCCCCAAGACAGGATGATTCTGTCCGAATGCGGTAACTGAAGCATAGAATAGACTCATTGTAAGTACAATACTCGTCATATGGTCTCAATGGGAGAAGGGAGTAAGGGATCTCAAGAACATATAAGAGCGAACAGCCCAGTAGAGCTTTAGTGATAGCAGCAAGCACATAATCAAACCAATTCGTTGTATCACTTCAGTTCACAGCACAAAATGTTGTCCTTCAAGCTCTCCTTCTTTCTAGCCTTCTTCTTTTGGGCCTTTACACTCGAGGCTGCACCAGCCATGCACCATCACCGCCATGGTAACCAACATCTTCGACATCTCCACGCAACAAGAGCAGCCCTTCTGCACCGCGCAAGATCGCACTATCGCCACGGAGCCCCCCAAGTTTTATTCGAAGAGCCCCAAAAGCCTAGTGAGAGTGTGCGAGCTCAGGCTGTACCGGACTATGAGATGCGCCATTCCGTAGAGAGGCTGACGGTATAATTACTCAATGGTAGGTGGCAAGCCCACGACTACTATGATGCATGTAGTGACTTGTAAAGAAAAAAGTTTTGGGATAGTCGGGTGGAAGTGATGAGAGGAAATTAGAAGCTGGCTCTTCTGATACGGGGATGCTGGACGGAGTTTGTTTAATATTGGATGGTCATATGGACGTTGGTGAGATACTTGAACCAATCATGGTTTATAATTTTATGTTACTTTCAATTACTGTATCTCTTTGAGTTCACACAATTCACAATATTTCTTTTAAGATTACAGCTCAAATTCTAGGTTTATGAAGCGCAACAACTGTCTATCTGTAGCACAGTCCATGATGACACGCACTGTCTTATCCCCATGAGACGCCCTGATTGGTCACAGACACCTAAACCCTCCGCTGGAATTGAGGAGCTCTCCCTTACCTCAGGCTCTAACTAAGTTAATCTGGAGAATCTGTCCCGGAGTCGACTCTCGTATCCCGTTCCTCTTCATTTCCATTTCTATTCCCATTTCCCACTGTCATCTTCGGCTCCAACACCCAGCCGACCGATATTTCTTTTACTGTCTTTCCCGTCTTTTCGACGCTCCTTAATCATCGCTATCCGAGAAAATCCTGCTGCTCCTCCATCAACTCCAATCGCTCATCGCGCGACGCTCAAGAGCTCTTGACCAGAGCTCGCTCCCTAGCGCACCCACCCCTGGTCCTGAGATCATCATCCCACCGAGATGCCTTCTCCACGCCGAGTACGCCTACTAATCCTGGCGACGATTGGCACATTCATCTTTATCCTCTTCTACACCTCAGGGTTCGACTCGCATCACGATGCAGAGACTTACACGGGCCAAGAGTTCATCAAGAAGACCCAAAATGCCATGAGCGCAAACGAACCCCCCGCGCCTATCGTCGACTTTGCAACCGGAGAGAAGGCTGGACAGCCTCACGCTGATAAAGATGGAGATGGTGATATCGACGCAGACGACCAGAAGCTAGCTGCTCAGATGCAGGAGCGTCTCAAGGCTGCCGAGGCCGAAGCGAAGGGCAAGGCGAACGAGAAGGGGGGTCTGCGACCTGATCCTCCCAAGAAGGTTGTGGGAGTTGGAAGTTCTGCGGAAGGTCAGGATAAGGATAAAATTGTCAAGCCTGTTGGCGGAGAGTCTGGCGATGTTCCGGCTCCTGCCGCCGCCGAGAAGAAACCCGAGACAGAGACGAGGAGCAAGGAGGCAATTGCGGCTCGTGAAGAGCTGGACTCTATCCTCAAGAAATCACCGGGTAGGTCTCGAAGAGCAACCACTAGAAGAACCAATATCACTAACTGTTATCCAGTAATCATCTTCTCCAAGACGTACTGCCCCTTCTCGAAGCGAGCCAAGAGCCTTCTGATTGAAAAATACTCCATAACCCCCGAGCCCTATGTCGTTGAACTCGATATCCATCCCCAAGGCCAAGCGCTGCAAGATCAACTACTCGAGACAACAGGCCGAAGGACCGTACCCAATATCATGGTCAACGGCGTGAGCCTGGGAGGCGCTGACGACATCGCCGAGATGGACCAGGCAGGCAAGCTCGTCGGCAAGATTGTCGACCTCGGAAACAAGCGCGTCGAGGTTCTGGAACGAACCAAGTAGACTGCGCACGCACTTTTTTCTCCTTTATGACCTCTTTTGATCTTCACGGGGCACTTGTACAAGGATTTACTACTGGTTTTTGGGTAAGAAGGGACTGTCATTTTGGGCCTTTGGCAGCATGATTGGAGTCTGGGCGTCTGGGAATTCCTTTTGTCACTGTGTGTAATGGTGTCATGAAGGGAGCATTAGGGGAGATACTCTTCGACTAAGACAGTGATGTACACAACAGCACAGCTAATGAACGAGATATATATACCTCCATATCCAACTTATCCCTTATTTACATGCCGTTTCTCTACTTCATGGATAAAGAAACGGCATTCCGGTCTGATCCTAGACGACATAACCATATCGGATTGAGGTGGTGATTTGCTTCATTGGTGTAGTCTTATTAGCGCCATAAATACGGGAGTCAAACAGGATCAACACTCACATCCCAAGTAGGCAGGTCTTGTAAGCCAACCCAACCAAGCTTGGCCATTCCCCTACCGAGGCAGGATTTTTGGCATAACTTTAACCAACATATGAAGTTACATTTTGGTCGCATGCATTAAAGTGAAGTCATGGCATCGTGACTCGCAGCCCGGTTCATCATGTGAGGGTTGATTCCATCTCTGATACCACTACATCATCGGCTTTGAGGATTACCTATATGTTGCATTAAAGTTCGTATGACAACTCTCATCATTTTCAACTTCCTTCTTGAGCCTTGCTCGGTTTCCATATGAAATTGAGCCCTTGATATAAACAACATCTAAATTCACGATGGAGTTCACAGACACTATGACCAGGATACTCTCTGTTCCGGAATTGCTGGAACTCATCCTCTTACACCTTGACATGAAGACACTTCTTGTGTCTGTATCACGAGTATGTCGTCACTGGGCTGCGATAACAGGAGAATCTCCCAGAATTCAGCAAGCGCTGTTCTTTCAGCCCGTGTTTTCGGCAGGAGCCCAAAGACCGCAGAGTTTCACACTCAACCCGCTGCTGGTTGAAAAGTTTGGGAGATGCTTCTTCGATATCGATCGCAAATATACGTACTTTCGAAGAGCGGACTCGTTCCTTCGCTTACCTTGGGCTCCTGAAGGTGCGATTAAAGCCCAAGGAGAAGCGAGGGGCTTATCAATGTTGGAGAAGACGGAGCGTCTTCAGAACTTCACAATGGGCAGTTCCAGTTGGCGACGGATGCTTGTATCTCAACCACCGCCTCCCGCTATGGGATATCTGAAATCAGAGGGCTTTAACATGTGGTTTCGCAATGTTCGCACTGCTCTTATCAAGCCAAAGCCTTCCCCGGGCCTCTGCATGGGACAGTTATACGACATGGTTCACAGCACAACATGCCGACCGGAGAACTACTCTATGTGGTACCGGATTAGCTGGGATGATGCGCGAGAGGCGCACCAGACGCAACTGTGTCGGGAACAATGCGAGCTGCTTTTCGGCACGACGAATCTTGTGGTCGAGTTCTACAGTATGGATGGAGGGGATTGGGACTGCGGACCGTGGGATATAAACTGTGTGAGAGAAGCATTTAGATGTGCCGATAGTTGTGGTGGTAGAGTTGAGAAAGAGGAGGAGTTGGCTAATTTGGAGGAGTTTGAGGCATTGGGGTTGGATGTGCTTACGTCGATTTGGTGGCATAATGAGGAGGATGGTTCAGCTGTAGATGTTGAAGGGAAGGGTTATGGGTATAGCCAGTGGCCTCAGCGAATGGCTCAGAGAGTTTGACGTCTGATTGATAGGGAGGGTTACATTGGGCGGGTTGTCTAGACTGTCTGAAGAGCAATAAACCATGAGGAAAGAGAGATGTCTTTGAAACGTCGCATTGTATTCAAATGAGCATAATTGAGATCATTATGATATGAAGAGAGATCCGATCAAGACTAATACTATACAATATTATTATGTCTTTTTTTTATCATGACAATACCATAGTAATTCCTCGAGATAAGTGGAACTGATTAAGGTTAATGAAAGTGGATCCACTAACACTAACACCAAAGATCTAGACCCTAGAAAGGCAGACAAGGCAAGAGGCAGACAGACAAAGTCGGGGGAGAGGAGGAGGAGGAGGAGGAGATAGGACAGTACCTTCCTATCCCTTGCCTTCCATATATAATTCAGCCTCACCCCGCCATTTTAGCTCTCTATCAATTAAATATCACTCATACAAATAAAAGCGTCTCTTTCTTTTCAAAGTCAATTCATCTGTCACAAAATGGATACCACAAGCGACGCTGCCTCTGTCCTCTCAGGCTCAACCGTCTTCTCCAAAGAAGCCCAGGACCATGTCTCACCGACAAAAGCCGACACAGAGATCTCTACAAACGAAGCCGCAAAGCACCGCAAGACTATGCGACAGCGAGTTCGCAATGTCGTAGCCGACCTCGGACGTCCTCCGACTGCGAGAGATGATGCCAAGAGTGGAAATGTCACGCAAAAGCATGTGGATGTTGGGCCTGCGGCCGGGACGGTCCTCATGGGCTCTGCTACGGTTTAAGGCAGAAGCATCAAATATTGAGGCTGGGAATTTAATGGGACATATGGAATGAATGATGAATGGATGGATGGATCAGATACCTTTTACTGTACGAGTTATGGCGTTGGAAATGAGTTAAATTGGATTCAAGTGTTGGCCACCACTTAACAGAGCCATTTATTGGCGATGGCATGATTGACAACTAAAGCAGCGTGATATCCAGATGTTGAATTACGCCTTATCACTATTATCTTACATTCAGGTCGATTTTGTCCATTGTATTATTACTGCATCATTGATTAAATACTTTCCTTCTTAAGACTTCATCTTACATCAGCATGTCCACCGCAGCCTTGAAATTCACACCGATTATTAAGTCCTATCTTGCACTCGTGGGGCCCATGAACTTTGCCTTGCCTTGCTTGTATCTATTCATAAGGTCGCTTTGTTTTAAATCCGAAACATTGTGCATGTTTCCTTACATAGGTAGAAACTTCGGTGGGGCTCATTTAGGCGTTCCACGGAGTACAAGCTGACAAATATCTACGTTTTAATAATACGACTATGCATGACGCATTATCAGGAGATGAGATCTTGAGTGAAGAAGGGTTAAGTATATATACGGAGCAGATCTACAAAATTACTATGCCTGTAGAGTGACATCGATCTATCCATCAAGCCATTTATCACCTACATCGAACCAAGCCCATCATGTCTTCTATCCCCTCAACTCAACAAGCCATAGTCCTCCCTGCAAAACGCACTCCGTTCGCCTTTCAGACGGTCCCTGTATATCCTCCCGCCCCTGGCGAAGTCCTGGTTCGTGTTGCCTGGACCTCTTCAACTCCTCTCGACCTTCATCGTGCTGATGGCGGTCTACTCATCTCCGAATACCCACAGCAAATGGGCAGCGGAGGTGCCGCTGGAAAAGTCGTGGCTGTTGGCGATGGCGGTGATCTTAAGGGGCTGAGTGTCGGAGACCGTGTCGTGTCCTTTGCTTTCCATGGTGGAAAAGAGGCAAATCACCAGGAATACATCACAATTCCTGCATATCTTGCTTCCAAAATCCCAGACAACATTTCTTACCAAGAAGCTGTGACAGTCTCGGTGAATCTCGTGACTGTCTTTCACACTGCCGCCGCGGATCTCAAGCTGGAACTTCCATGGCCTGTGCCAGAAGGTTACACGCCCAAGCAAGCCGATGACCCTATCCTCATCTGGGGTGCCTCGAGCAGCGTCGGTATGTATGCCATTCAAGTCTTCAGTCACTGGGGCTTCAAGAATATCATCGCTGTAGCCAGTGAAAAACAACATGAGTATCTTCGCAGCATTGGCGCAACTGAGACTTTCGACTATCGAAAGAAAGATGTTGTCGATAAGATTCTCAACTTGATCAGTAATAGACCAGAGCCCAAGCTGCCTTATATCATCGACTGCATTGGCTCCCTTGAGGGCACTCTAAAGCCTCTGACCAAGATTGCTCAGCGCGGCAGCACCGTGGCTGTTATGCTCCCTGTTATTCTTATAGATGCCACACTCGAAGACGAGCCCGAGTATGAGATGGACGTCTCCAAGGTGTTGGTCGGGCAATGGGCCGATGGTGTTGAAGTTCGTGGTGTGCGTACACATTTCTACCTCTCTGTAAGTCACTCTTGGTTATCTGAAGCAACCAAAGACTAACATAAATTAGAATGAGTTTCTCAAGGAAAAGGCTCAGCCAGAGATGGTACCAAAGCTACTCAAAGACGGTGTCATTACCCCCAATAAGTATCGTGTTGTGGAGGGTTCATCAGCTGTTGAGAGGGCCCAAAAGGCATTGGATATTCTGAGAAATAAGGGAGTCAGTGGCGAGAGACTGGTGTGGAGGATCACCGAGGATGAGGTGTGAACAAGCGTGAAACATCTGTTCATATAGCATTATTCCAGTACTATTCAATTGATACCAGCACCCTGACGCCTTCCCATCATTATAAAACAAAGAAGATATACCCATCCATTACTTGTTCAGAATCAACATGCAGCGCCCATCATAAACTGATCGATAGCTTCTGGGCCCATTTGTCTGTTTCATGTTAGACATAATAGCATACACAACAAGAAATGGAGTTACTCACGCAGTAAGCATTAGCTTCGTAAACTCATCAACATCCTCAGGTTGCGCATGCAACCAAACACCCTTGAAGTCAAGATTCCGCACCGGGTATTGTGGTTTGGTCTGCCACGCACGGTAGAAGGCCATTGACGAATCGGCTTCCCAGAGGTATCTTGATGCAGTGAACTGAAAGCTTGGGCCCTCCATGATACCGCAGGGTGCTGTATAAGTGTTAGATATGAGTACAGATAAAGAGAGCAAGACGTACGCTCAAGAGACTTGAGTATGCTTGTCATGCACACAAAAGCAAATGACATGACGGTGGTTCGGCGTATACTCTCGGCGAGCAGCCAACTCTATCTAAACGTCAGCAAAAGATCCTGCATGACACAATTCTTTGATTAGCTTACCTCCCAGCTTGGTGGAGGCGGACCCTTCATCGTAGTAGCACCAGGTTCATCCCCCACTGACAACTCCTCCTCGACCTCCTTGAGAGCAAACGTCCACGCCATAAACTGCGACAGCTCACGCTCGCTCGTTGCCCTCAGTGTAACGTCACCATCGAACATACGGATAGAGTCCAGAACAACCAGCGCCTGCACACGCGCCAGCTTCTCCGCCGGCGTCGAGGCCCGCTCACCCTCTCGATGGATCTCCTTGGCCATGTCAGTGATGAGCTTGTACACCCAACCTTTGTTCTCAGGAGTTCGCGCTGAATAGGCTGATGCCGCTGAGAAGGCTGCTAGCATGGTCTTGGGGAGGTTGGAGCCGTAGAGACGGGGGTGGATGAAGGGCAGACGGCGAGTCTGTGCGAAGCCGCGGTAGAGGTTGGTGATGATCTCTACTGTGTATCCCACACGAGTACGAGGGTCGTACACGTCCAGCGGGTTGAAGTCGGCTAGGCAGGTATCTGCTCTATCTAGAAGAGCCATATCGCGGATGACGACAGGTCCTGTTGGTACAGGTGGTATACCGAGCTTGTTATTGCCATAGTCTCCCATGTTCCATAGCTCGGAACCGAGAGATGTATCGTTAGCCATGAGATGGTCGATGATGGAGAAGTCGAGGGGAGAATCGAGCTCTATCGACGATGTGGTGACTCTGTCCAGGCTATCTGGCGTGGCGTTGCTGGTGCTGGCGCTGGCACTCGAGTCTGCTCCCAAGTTGATATCAAAGCCCATATCAAAATCAGGAACCTCGTTCAAATTATCAGTAGCGCCAAGACCGGCACACAGATCGTCGTCGTGGAAGTTTGCCCCCGGCGGCAATCTCTGATATACACAGTCGAGGCCCTTTGCCGCACAGCGAGTACAGCGCGGAGTCTTCTTGTCGCACTTGCGCTTCCCTCTCACGCAGGCGTTGCAGCTCTTCTGTCTCGAAGCAGCTGAACGGTCCATCTTGCGCGCAGCCAGTGAGCCGAGTGAGTCCATGATATATGAATAAGTGAGATAGAATTAGTGGATGGATGAGGGTGAAGGTGAGAATAATAGAAGAGGAGAGGCGGAAAAGATCCCCAAGAATGTCGACGGACTTGACGTCGGAGAAGGAATAGGCCTACCAGAGTGAAATAGAATCAAGTGAATGGAGTATGAGGAACCCCTGATGCATCCTCTTTGCGGACTTTGTTTGGTGTAAACCGTAAGCACTGTCTTCTTAGTCAATTGTCAATGGTTGTTGCTCGTCTCTCAGACCGAATCGGGGACTTTTCTTAGGCGGGGCATCCGCAAAGTCCGCAAGTCCGCAAGTCCACAACACCCAACTCCGCCCGGACTCGGGCTGCCCCGTATATCCCGTGTCCCCGGCTCCGGTCCGAGGCAAACAGTCCAATTGTGAGCTGTCCAATGTTTATGGATCATCTTTTCTTTATCTTATCATGCCGCATTGTTCCATCAGGTCACGTCATGCCAGTGGTATCCATAATACTCTATGTAATACGAATACTCAGGTCTATGCCCATTGCCTTCCAACATGGCATGACATACAACCGGAAACCTGTTCATTCATCTTACAATTAGCATAATAGAAACATTCACAAGCACATTTTTGTGAAGACGAATATCTTGTTCTCGCATTTTACCATCAACCGTCCGATACACCGAGACCATCCGATACGATCACAACCACGCCATTGCATAGAAGAAAGCAAAACGTCCTCCAACTGCATCACCTCCACGACATGTTTGTTCCACAACACAGACCCTTCCTGTCCGCTTCGCCTCTTTTAAAATGGGTATATACGTCCTGAAACACTATCGCGCCATCTTCGTATTTTCCATGACGTCTTGGTCCTTTCGAGCCCAAAAACCGAGGAAATCCTTTGCAACCAACCCCATTGCACCTATTCCTTGTCCTTGCCTTGCCGTGCCTTACCTTGCCTTGCCTGACCATCCGTACCTAACCGTACCATACCATTAAGTGGCCTATATGTCCCAAACCTAAACTAACTCCCAACAGCCACCTCATTAGCCGAGCGTGGTCCATGTTTAAATAAAAGAAGAAGAAGAAGAAGAAGAAGAAGAAAAAGAAAGAATGAGATAGAGACCTAATACTGAACAAGAAATTGACAAAGAAGAGTGGCAGTTCACGGTCCGTTTGCCGTACTGGTACACTGGGCGGCAGCGTCGCCGAAGAAGACAAAAGAAAACAGAAGCAGTTAAGCAAATCTAATGCCACGGCGCCTTCGTGTTGTGGTTCAGAGTATCGCTGGTGACCCAGCAATAGTGATCGAGTCCAGCGCTATAGTTCTTGCTGGAATCGCAAGTGTGCGCGCCTTGTGCTCTCCTAGTGTCATAACTTTTCGCCGTCATTCATTCATTAATCGAGTTCCAACAGGTTCAAGGTGGCGGACCTTTTCTGGGGCAAGTATTCCCCCCGAGCCGCATCTACCGGAACCTTTGATTGATTCCGTCTAATGATAGCCATTGGTACGAGGACTGTCGTACTGAACACCCATCATAGAGTCCGGTCCATTTGGAATACTGTTGCGGAGCGACCTGAGCGGTGGCAGTTCCGGTCGGTTAGGGTTGGGGTATGAGTCTGTCTGATAAGTCCCGGCCTGTGGTGCTGGTGTTGCTGCTGAAGATAGGGGAGGCCGTGAAGAGGAAGAGTTAAGCTCTCCACGAAGCTGTTGATTTTCCATTCGTAGCGCATGGACATCTCTGCGAAGCATCTCGTTCTCAGCTGAACTGGACTTGTAGTGCTCTTGTAGCGCTCGAATGATATCTTGCTGCTTCTGATGCTCCGCAATGGCTGTCGAACAAGTTAGTCGAGATTCAACCCCTTTTGTTAACTTACTAACCTTTAGTTAGAATTTCCCACTTGGAGGCTTTGGAGCCTCGTTCCTGAGGCATGAGATCTCTTAGTTGATCAAAGAGTTCCTTCATCTCCGTTCGTCTTTTTCGTTCAGCAAGCTTGTGGCTGACTCTCAATTCAGGTGTTCGACTATATGGTTGTGAGCCTGTTGAACCATTCCCTTCTTCAGCCTGGAGATCACTCAATTGCTTATGCTGCATAGAGTGATGGTGAACAGGCGGAAAGTCGGATGCATTGGACATGCGAGAGTACTCGGACTCGTTCAGTCTCATCTGGCCAGGAGGTAGGCGAGACTCTGTTGTGAATTGACTGCTCGCGATAGACTCAGTGATGCTACTGCGCCGCGAGTCGGTGTACGTAGGGGCGCCACCGACTCGCTGAATCTCCTCTTCGGGAAACGCCCATGCTTGACCTTTAGTGGGCTCTGCAGCGCGCGCGATGTGTCCAGTGGCAGGACCAGTGATGGCCGGTGCGGTTTTGACCGTCTTGCCCTCAGGGTTTCGCTCCGCACTGGGTTGGTAGCCGTTTGAGATACGATGGACTGATAAATGATGAGGGTTCCGCTGATTATGGAGGGTATTTTGTATCGAGGTAGTTGAGTGATTGTGGGATGCATAAGGAGAGCCTCCCAGGCGCAAATCGCCAAAGTTCTGGTTGATACGACTGTCAACGCTCTCCCTTCTCATTGCTGCCATACCAGGCGCCAACGTGTCACCCATCGTAGGGCCGGGATTGGGACCGAGACCGTTCGATTCGATCGACGTGGGTCGGTCGCGGCGTGGATCGAGACTGCTGGGAGTACTAGGGGATACCATTGCGGCAACGCTCATGTTGGTTGTCGATGGCGATACAAGTCCGTTGGGAACCATGTTGGAGGCAATCGGAGATGGTGTCTTTTCGTGCGACGAAGATTGATAGCCGGAGCCGCTTGGGCTAAGACCATTCGCGTTGAAGGATGCAGCAGATGTGTCTAGGTAAATCAGGTCAGCCATGGAGCCGAGGCATTGGCACAAACAGTAATGAGCAGCGTACGCTTACTGGAGGCGTCTGCGTTGGAGTAGAAGCCCGAATCTCGCATGTGAGGTGGGCCGTTAACGATTGAAACAGGTGCGTTATCGTTATTAAGAATGTTATTAAGTCCAACCGGTTTGGGAGGGGGTAGACGCGGCTGATTGTGGACGTCCATAACTGTCTAGAGGTCGAGTTGATATCGAGGGTATCGATCGAGTCACAGCCAGAGCGATTCGGTTACAGTGAGCCCGACGAGTCCCGTTAATGGGAGCCCGGTTAACAGACGGCAACGGTGACGGCGATACGGTTGTGTTCGATTGTTTGCGCTCAAGGCGAGGCCAGGGTAGCGAGAAGCAGGCGAGAGGCGTCAGTACGACGAGCCAAGGTGGAAGGTGCAACTCGAAGTCGGTGGGCCAGGACAGACAGACAGGACAGTACAGGACAGTAGAGACGCGACAATGCGATCCAAAGTCAAATTCTATAGTGGGCGGGCGTGTCAGAGCATGAGCCCTGAAGGAGGGTTAAGAAAGGGGCCGTCGCCTTGGACAAGATAAAGATGGGATGTGCGGGATTGAGAACAAGAACGTAACGTAACCCTGATCTGTAAAAAGTGAAGAGAGAAGAAGTGGAAATGGAATTGAAGAGGGAAAAGTGCACACGAGAACGAGATGACAGGTAAGTGACGGTCCGGGGGGATGGATGAACAGTGGAGGGCACTGCAGGTAAGGGAAGGGAAGGTGAGGAACGCCTATGCTAGTTCCCCGGTAGGTACCTACTAAGGTAGGCTATAGAAAGAACCTAGGGCATGTACATACCTATAGCACTGTACAGTACCCGACAGGAGAGAAGTCCAAGAATTGTCTAGGTTGTGGTGGTAAGGAGACCTATAAAAAAAAATATATATATATAAAAGAAAGAAACGAGAGAAACGAGACCAGATGGTTTCTCCTTGGATCAAAACAGCGAGTGGATTAGACCTGAAATCAGATCCATCCATCCATCAATCAATCAACCAACCAACCGGACACCAGGAACATCGAAATGACTTGAGAGCAAGCCTCATTTCCCCTAGCACAAATGGTAGCCTCCATGTCTCGAAACCTCTAAGGGAAAAAAATCATCTGGCGTCGTACGCTGAAATGGTTGGGTCCCCTGCAACACATGCATGTTCAGCAGCAGCACTGTATCCACCTTCACTGTCCATACAGTAAGGTACTAACTCAAGCTCAAGCAATGGAGAATGGATGGACGGTCACCTCTTGAAGCCTTGAAGCAGGGGACCGGCAACGGGACCTCCCTCCAGCTCTCAGGCGGGTCTAAACAACGAAGGCTGGCTAGAATTTACAGGGGCCTCACAGTGGCTGTCCCGCTGGCTTCAGCACCTCACTTTGAACTCCGTGCTCCCTGTTGCAGCACACGGCAACCATGTGCCCATCTCATCCCTGTGTAGACTTGCAGCATGTACAGTACTCGCTCTTGCCGTACTGCGAAACCTGGACCGTTGCCAGGGATCTGGCTACCCACCTACAAAGCTTGTGAATCCGTTGCGTTCAACAAAAACAATTTTGAAGTGGACGAAGAAGCATTCGGAGTCTTCTTTCGACCCAAAACGGTATTGATATTGGTATTGGCTAATCTCAAGCAGTTTTCAAACTACTTCAAAGCGGTTATACAAACAAGAATGGCACTCGTGGTCGAGGCACATGTTGGTGAAAGAAACAAAATCTACTCGAAGGACTCGTTACTCTCCCCACCACATCCTCCCATGTGTTCGAGTACGATACATCCAACGGAAAGCAGCGCTATTGGGGAGTGTTGGAAAACTTGCTAGAGGCGCACCTTGAGCGGCTTAGAGGCGACGGCGTCAGAAGCCACCCTTCACCCCTGGAATCCCTTTTCTTCATTCCCCTCTGAATCCCCCAAAACCTTGTTTCTGTCATTGTCCGAAAGTCAAGTCGTGGAGGGTGGTGCGGGGAGCCTTAGCTTGGGATCGGGGCGGCGTAACTGGAATTGGACGCCATGTGGTTGCTCAGTCTAGCCGGTCTGATTCTACTCACAACCCCTTTAAGGCACAGCATCCAGTCTTGATGAACGTAAGGCGTCATCCGGAGATTCATGCCACGGAAGGTTGCGACGACAGCACGGCTGAACGGGTTGGTGACTCCTAATACCTAAGATCGAGGGTCAAACATTTTGACAGAAAGTACCGAGTACCGAGTTACTTAGACTAGGGTCAAATTGTTTTGAACTCAACGTGGATCTGGATCTGGATCTGGATCTGGCAAGCCATATTTGCCTACTCTGCATCAAGCCAACCAACACACATGGCTCGAACTGGCCACTGGTCCAGGCAAACATTTCCAGCCATTGAATAATCCTGCCAGGGAAACGGAGTGAGCGCAGTATTATTATGATCCCAAATTCGATATGAATCTGGATGAACTTGTCCCAGGCAACACGTATCAGCACCCTATGTGCCGATTATGATGCGGGATGCAGTCATCCACATGCCAACTGTTGCCCAACTGCCGCCAGTGACTCGGGACTGCACTGTACATATCCGGCCATACTGTACTTCCGACGGGAACCCGTTCCTGATACTGGTCAACCACGTATGTACAAGGATCAATTTCAGGAAGCAAGTCAATGATAGGGAAGAAGGGATAAGCATGCAGACTCCTCCGAAGAGGCAGAATTAACCAGAATCTTTGAAGCCCGTGTTGCTCGTTGCGACCAGCAACTCTCAATAACGTCTCAGACAGACAGAAGGCATGGTATCAGGACCCAGTTGACCTTGCAGACAAAAGAGGAGGTAGCGCCCTGCGCAAGTGAATACTGTACGCGGACAGTATTATGGTATGCAGCAACTGGATCTCGTTGCGGATGATTTTCCGGGGTGTCCCGTGTGATACTGCGAGTTTGAGATGCTCACCAGGAACAGGCAGGACAGGAAGCCTTGTAAATGTGGCTTGCACCAAGGCCGGGGCACCTCGTGCGCCGTTCACTAGTGTATCCATGACCCCATCAGATGGCATGGTTCTCGAGGTCCATGCCGTGGTGCAGGGATATGCTCACTGCCCATGTCCTTGAACTTGCACAGGACTGGCTCATCACCATGTGTAGGCCCCTCCTTTGCTCGCCTCGCCCCCAAAGTTTAAACCCCCATTGTTTGATGAGCAAGGAGCGGAGCGACTAAGCACCCCAGTACCACATGCGCGATCTTCCGCAGCCACGTGAGGGCCATCTCTCAGAAAAGACTGTGCCGCAGATCGACTGGTCCACCAGTTAACTGGTCTTGGCCCAACATTGCGAGGAATAGTGCACATGGGTGTGGTGTATTTTTGCTTTATCCCCTCCTGAGCGCAGTCGCGCCGCGCAGCAAATAGGGCTACGCACCGCCCCAAGTTTGCGTGATGCCATGTGGCAGGTCAGAGGACCTTGGGATTGGACAATAGACCCAGCCAAGATAGTTGATTTGCCCTGATGTCTTCCTGGTTTGTCTTTCCTAGATAGGTAAGTAAAGAGCATGCGCACAGAACTTGTCATGCCCAAAATTTCATAAGCGTTACCACCTTGAAACAATCGGGTAAAATTGTGCACTGTAAGCCTTCGTCAACCATTGCTGCTTGTGTCTAACAACGTTTGCAGAGAACGCTGCTGGTCCCTAGCAACACTCCACACACGTGCCGGGGCGCGTCCAAAGATCTAGCCGCCCTGGTGACTAGCCGGTACGATTTAGGGGCGTTAATCTCGACGAGCTAGGCGGGCCAATCGACAAGGGTGTTTCTAAAGCGACACTGCATGATGGGGCGGCCATACTGTACAGAGAGAGCTCGTGAATATCCTCATGTTAGGTGCATAGGTTGATGCAGAGTCGCGGCCAGGTTAGTAGTTGATGTAAACAAATGAAAAGCGTATGAGAAAATTTGTTTGCAAATTCCGAATTTCCAATGTCAACTAACCTTGCTATGGAAGTTGCAAGGATACATGCAACTGTTTCGTATGCTGATAGGTAGGTGCGAGGTCGGTATACCTTTTGATTCAGAAGGTGTGACGGTGAGGTAGGAACATATGAACAAGGTATGACACTTGCATTTTCTGCCAGATTTGGAGTTTCTTGACTATCCTGTTCCCTTCTGTTCGTAAATTCTGTCATCAACTCAATCCTCCTCAATTCAGGTAATGAGATAAAATTATTTATTTTTCTCACTTAAATATTGCTTTGACCTTCCTTACGCTATCGCTTCAGCTCATGCACCTTGCCGTTTTATCATGGCCTTCCGTGGGACGCTCTTTTAGTCTGAGTCGCTGCGAAACACATCACAAAATTGCTTTTTCAGCAATTTCTATCATGCGACGTTCCATACAACAAGTCGGTGTCGGTCTCTTGCTTTCGCTTACAGATTGATGATTACCGATACCATGCTCGGGTTATCAGACACACCTCCAAAGTCAATGGCGAATCCGGTATGTTCTGCAACGCGACAACGCAAGTCCTACCGCTGTGAATATCGAACTATGGCGCCTCTTGTTTATTAAGCACAAATTCACACGCGCAGTTCGAGGACAGCCCGACACATGGTCATCAGGCGAGTGCCAAAAATTTCTTGGAGTGGTTTTCACGCCAGATCCGACTTCAAGGGCTCATACACCCAGCATCCCCCCAGCGGCTTGACTGACGTTTCGGGGATTTTCTCCTGGAGATCCTTATTATCGTCCTTTCGACGAGCAAGCCAAAGCTGCCGATCTCTACTCTGGTGTTTCCAGTCGACTCATGGCTGCCAAACTGTAGCTGAAAATTGTTTCTATTATGTGTCCTACAACAACCCCTGTTACGAGTCGATTCCCCTGCTTGGATAGTAAACCGTGATTGGTGAGTCTGGCTACCATCAGAGTATCAATACAACGATTCATGGGGATCTGGAAATTCTCTGTCCAGCAAAAACACTCCGGCGAATGTCATTTAAGAAGGGGTAAGTATTTCTCGTGGACCACATTGTCCTTCGTCTTGCGTTCATACACGATACCTTGGCCATGTCTGTGTTTCCATTGAACAAACAACCGACATCTGTCGATGCTGCGACAGCATGGGTTTCTCGAGGACATCAACGGGGGTCTGCACATGGCTTATACATGCTTGGCAACCTTTGGCTTTTGGTGGTTGTTCAGTACCAATCATTTATTGACTGATCCCGACAGCCCATTGAGGTTCGAATCCTCTATACCTATTCAACATGGCCTGCACATATTTACCATCAACCAAGATATTGCGCTCAATTTTTAGCGACATAGTAGGGAGCCTTGATTGACATCCCACGACAAGTGCCGGCTCGGTAATTAATATATTTGCCAAACCACGGTTGTTTGACTTGATAGCAGTGGTACGGCCATGCATTATCACGCCGACTCGCTTGGTTGGTTACGCACTGCGGCACTGCGCCAGGTCAAAGTGATACTCGTGGAAGACCATACAGCAACCAATCTCTCTTTCACACAATCTTTCTCATCACGTCCCGCTCCCCTCATATCAGCCCTGTGCAATGATATGGCGCAGTG